ACCAAGACCTCAGCACACCAATCCTGACCTAATGTGATAGATAAAGAAAAGGCAATTAAAAACATCATAAATGGAGGTCTATTGTACTGATGTAGAAGATGTACAAATTTGTACCAAGACCACAGCACACCAATCCTGACCCAATGTCATAGATAAAGAAAAGGCAATTAAATCATCATAAATGGAGGTCTATTGTACTGATGTAAAAGATGTAAAAATTTGTACCAAGACCTCAGCACCCCATTCCTGACCCAATGTCACAGAAAAAGAAAAGGCAATACATTTGTAAAAGCATCATGAATGGAGGTCTATTGTACTGATGTAGAATGCACAGTTTTGAAATGATGTCATTCGTCTGTCTTACACTAGTTGTCACAACCATAATGCTGAACACAGTAATTGTTAAACTATTTATTTATATATTTATAGGTTTTTTTGAACATTTGATAATATTTGCCAACAAGATTTGGATACAGACATCAGAATAATGTCCTAAATCCTGACCTCATGTCATAGATAAAGAAAAAGGCAATTAAAGCATCATAAATGGAGGTCTATTGTACTGATGTAGAAGATGTACAAATTTGTACCATTAAGACCTCAGCACACCAATCCTGACCCGATGTCATAGATAAAGAAAAGGCGATTAAAGCATCATAAATGGAGGTCTACTGTACCAAACAACATGGCGTCGCCCATGCTAAAAACTTTGTGTGAAACGATGTCGGGTATGTAGAATGTCCTCGTACGACTTCTAGGGGACAAAGAGAAAGTCCCAAAGCCCTTCACGCTCGAGGACAGTTATAACCGCCAAAATGTAAGTGTCACAGCTCAGGTAAGTGCGAGCCTTGAATCACACAACGTGACAGGCCCAGTTGCCCCGGAGGACATTCCTCAAATGGATTTGATGGCGCTGTCATTACGCCGACAGATTGTTGAAGGTAAGGACACTAATCTAGCCTCCCTTCTAATTCCCTACTACGAGGTGCAGGAACAAACTTCCGCCTCGTACCAGTCCCAAAATAACGATAACAGACTGTGTCGGTCCCTGTCTATAGGGGAGTTCATCACAGCATTCGGATGTTTTAAACATGCAATGTGCATGACCTACCCGGCACGCAGGGAAGAACTCGACCAATACGAGTCAATCATTGTCAGCATTTACAACGTATACATCTTTCCCCAAGTTCAAATAATTTCATATATCAATTCATCATTCGATTCATGAGATATTCAGATCTCAAGTTTACATAATAAAGAATCTCACAAGTTCTTGCAAAACATTTGCATGGTACTGTCTCATGTACTGTGATGGAATTCACTGCTGGGTGGATTTCCGGATTTGTGAGAGGGTCACGTAGTGTTCTCGAAGAGTTCTTGTAACATGCATTACGGCAGTATATCAGTCCCCCTCCAGCTGAGCGAGGGCCATGCAGCGGCTGAATCATCTTTACTGGTGGTCTACTTACACTGTCGCACACTGATCAGGTAAATGATTCAAAAATTTGTATAAGGGGAACAGCTGAGATAGTTTTCAAGCCAAATGTCATTTGTATGTTATGCTGTATCTGATGTATCACATGAATATATCATCTATATACCCAACGAATATACATCATACTGATACCTATACTTTTGTCATGTTGTACTTATTGGCATAAATATATATCTCTACTTTATTTTAACATGTCATAACATTTGCCAACAAGATTTGGATACAGAGATCAGAATAATGTCCTTGCCACCTGGAACTGTTTGTAAGACCTTGAACGAGTCTCTATATACTTTGACCAAGGACACATTACAATGTAAGCTTACAGAAAGGTTTCATTGACCTGACAACAAAATCATTTAGGTCTGATGTCAGATTGGCTACAGAAGTAGAAGATGTACAAATTTGTACCAAGACCTCAGCACACCAATCCTGACCTAATGTCATAGATAAAGAAAAAACAATTGAAAAAATCATAAATGGAGGTCTATTGTACTGATGTAGAAGATGTACAAATTTGTACCAAGACCTCAGCACACCAATCCTGACCTAATGTCATAGATAAAGAAAAGGCAACTAAAGTATCATAAATGAAGATCTATTGTACCGATGTAGAAGATGTACAAATGTGTACCAAGACCTCAGCACACCAATCCTGACCTAATGTCATAGATAAAGACAAGAGGCCCATGGACCTTAACGGTCACCTTATATATTTATACAGAGAGTTGATTTTGTTTTTAACATGAACAGAAATATTATTCAGTGACAAAAAACAATAAAACCACCTTATTCAATATCTAGCATACAGATTTAAGACTAAAAAGTATTTGAAACTAGCACCTCTGATTCTAAACAAGGAAAATGAAGAAATTTTTGCACACTGACTCCTTTGGGCCCCACCCTACAGCCCTTGGGGGTAGGGCTGGCTCAAAA